AATTAATCTTCCTTCTTGTGCAAGAGAATACTTAATAAGTGCATTGGCTTATTATTAACCTAGAGCTCAACTTGTTGAGAAAGATGCATTTTTAGTTGAGAGACTCCTGGGAGATGATACACTGATTGATAATTTCCTCTGGGTGACTGATACTGATTATTTTTGTTTCTGTTTTATGTCCTAGAGTGCTTAATTGCTCCTGAAAACAGGCTTTGTAAATGCATTAAGTGAAACAGGAGCATGTGGTCTTATCTTAATCCAACCTCATGTTTTTATTCTGTACTCCTGTTGGAAGAAAGAACATTTCAACATACCTCTTTTTATTTAATAAATAAAAATGTTGCAGTTATTTGGAGAAATCAGGCAGCATGACAGAAGGGGGCTTCAGGAATTCACCTCTTCAGTGTTTAAGCTTAGCAAGACCTGTGCACCTTTTAACCCCAGTAGGAATTCAAAGCATTTTTGAGATAGAGTTCTTCAGTAGTTTCAGTTCATCTTACTCTGCCGAATTTGATATTCTAAACCATGCCCTTTCTGTCCTTCTGCTCAGTGTTGGAAATACGGGAAATATAGATGAAACCCTTCAACAGTGTTTGCAGTGTCAAGACACCGTGTCACTGTACAGGCTTGTTCTGAGATCAATTCAAGAATCATTGCGGAGTGATAGAGAGAAAGGTCTTTTGAGAGAGGTAAGCAGAGAATGCATCACTCTTTCTGCAGGTAATGTACATTCTTTCCTGAAAGAATCTTAAGTTACAAGTAAATACAAATTTATGTTGGTTCATATGTAGGATTCAGAGGTGACTGTATTATCAGTATGGAAGGGACAATTTTATTAATCTGTTTATATCTTTTGCATAACTGTAGAACATCTGACTGCTTTGTGTTAAATTTCAACTAAGTCATTGTCTCACAAAACAAAACAACTTTTCCACTGTCATGTGATACAGAAATAGCACGTCCTTGCTGATCAGTACCATGGTCCGATGGTTAACTACACTGAGCATAGTAAATGTAATGTGGGATCTGGTGTATACAGGGCACTGCTTAATAGATTTCTGCTTCCTCTTCCTACCTTTGCAGAATTTCACTGTTGTGTGGAACATTTTTTTGGATGAGGACATGATACTCAGTAGTTGCTAGAAGTTCTTTGGTGCTGGCAGCATAAGATTTTCAGCGTATTTTACTGAGATGGAAGTTCCTTATGATAATGGAGTTATTTCCCAGTGGTTTAGAGGAAATTCGAAGGAGCCATTTGTTTGTCCCAGAGTGTCCTATTTGGTGCTTTATCTATTAGAATGTTAATCCATAAGCACTGAGGACTCTTCTTTGAGGGCTGAAGAGGGCAAAGGGCTTGTGTAGGCAGGTTTTTTTTCTCTTGGTTCCTAAAGTAAAACACAGAAGTTTTCTTGGAATTTCAGTGTATTTAAGCTCTGCAGCAAACACTGCTAACTGTAGAATACTTGTGCTTTATGTAGATACTGTGTGTCATTGGTGTTAGCCACAATGGTGTGAGTGAGTCAGAGCTGACGGAACTTTATCCTGAGCTGTCTTCTGCAGTGTTAGCCTCACTCGTTCACAGCCTGCACAGAATGTGTTTGCTGACATATGGCTGTGGTTTGCTGAAGTTCCAGCACCTCCAGGTAGGTTTTGTAATCTAAACATGTGCAAGTGAAACTCCACCCCCTGAGCCCCTGCTGATTTTTAGGAGAGTTCTGTTGTTAACTAGAATGACTGTGATATGTTTGTGTTTGCTCATCTGTTTTCCTCAACATCTGGTCTGACAGGAAAATCGACTTGAAAACTGCTAGGGCTTTGATATTAGTATTGGCCATTAGTATTCAGCAGATGAAACCTGGCATTTCAAGCCTTCAGAAATTTCTGATCTATTGTTAACTCCATGTGTTCTAGAAAACACAAGTTGCCAGAGAGGGACTCTTCATCAGGGACTGTAGCGATAGGACAAGGGATGATGGGTTCAAACTGAAACAGGGGAAGTTCAGGTTGGATCTAAGGCAGAAGTTCTTCCCTGTGAGGGTGCTGAGGCGCTGGCACAGGGTGCCCAGAGAAGCTGTGGCTGCCCCATCCCTGGCAGTGTTCAAGGCCAGGTTGGACACAGGGGCTTGGAGCAACCTGCTCTAGTGGAAGGTGTCCCTGCCCGTGGCAGGGTTTTAGAACTGGGTGAGCTTTAAGGTCTCTTCCAACCCAAACCAGTCTGTGATTCAATGATAAAACACTGGTTCTGCAAAACCCAAGCAGAATGGACGGAGAAGGGAATATTATGTGCATAACCAGAGCTCTGGTCTAATATAAGACAATCTGTTTGTAGTGCTTTTGTCATCAAAAGATTTTCAATTCTACAGGACGTGTTTCGTAAAGAAATTTTGCATAGCACCCTGTGTATCATCAGCACTTAATAAACAAATGCATTTTCTTTCTCTCAATTATACTCTTTTTCAGGCTTGGGAGATGGTGAGACTAGAGTATATGGAAGAAGGTGAAAATGTTCTTTATGCCTACAGACAAAAACTAGTGGAGTATTTCACCATGCAGCTAAGGTACATCAGAATTCCTCAAGATGTGTTAAATTGCAGGCTTTATGCCTAATGGAGATTTTTGTTCTCTTCATAAAGCTTCTTTGACTCAGTCTAGTAAATTATTACAGCAGAGTAACTCTGCAAAACCCTAGTTGTCAGGGTCAGTTTATTATTGGTATGTTGCTTTTTAATCTTGGAAAATACTGAGGACTGTGGAGGGGGAATGGGCATGAATTTCTACCACATCAGTTATTTTGTGGTAACTGATCCCATGTGGATTTTTAACTCCCAGTAAATGCTAGGAATTTAGAGGTTGTGTGAGAAAACGGAGTACATAGGTCTTATAGTAGTCAATCTGTTTAGACATTCAGGCATGGCAATTGTGTGCTTGCCTAGTTTTCACCTCAAATTGGCAAGTTCTGTTAGGCTTCTCAGAGTTTTAATGTTTACTTTTATTTGCTTTCCTTTCAATAGTCGAGACCGAGTGACTTGGAGAAGTGCAGATGAACTTCCCTGGCTCTTCCAACAGCAGGGTGATAAGCAAAAGCTACACAAGTGTCTTTTGAATCTCTTTGTGTCGCAAAACCTTTACAAAAGGTACAAAAGCAGCCACTGCTTTGGCGGTTAGAAACATTTCAAAGCAATTTTTTGTCAATATAAATCAGATAATGACAGAGATTAAAAGAACTGAAATAGTAGAGGCTGAAATGCTAAATGCTGTTGTCACATAAATCATCTGTTTTTTCTATTCTGTTACATATGGGAGTTGGTAAAGGGATAAATAAATACTGCTGTTGAACAGCTAAGTCTCTATGGATTGTCTCTAGATGCTGTAGCCTAAAGACAGCATTCATGCATATGGCCCTTTTCTTCTAAGCTAGCATCAGTCTGAATAGAGGGGTATCAGAGATAAGATGAGCTTCTTATTTCCTTGTCAAAACAGGGGACATTTTGCAGAATTGCTGAGTTACTGGCAGCTGGTTGGGAAAGATAAGAGCTCTATGGCAGCTGAGTATTTTGACTCTCTGAAAGAATATGAGAAAAGCTGTGAGGGAGAGGAAAGTATGATCTGCCTGGCTGATCTTTATGAGACCCTGGGACGGTTTCTTAAGGACCTAGGTCTTCTCAGTCAGGTAAGTACATCTAGAGATTGTTGTAACAGCAAGAAGGGCAAATTAAGCAGAGCTCAGTGTGTGCTTTCTCTTGCAGTTGTGAAGTCGTTGTAGCATGCAGGGTGCTGCCTACTGCCATCATACTCTGAACTTCCTTGTTCCAGGCTGTAGCTCCTCTGCAGCGCTCTCTGGAGATTCGCGAGACGGCGCTGGATCCAGACCACCCGAGGGTGGCACAGTCACTGCACCAGCTCGCAGGAGTTTATGTGCAGTGGAAGAAGTTTGGAAATGCTGAACAGTTGTATAAACAGGCACTGGAAATCTCTGAAAACGCTTACGGAGCTGAGCATCCTCGCGTAGCCCGTGAACTTGATGCACTTGCAACCTTATACCAAAAGCAGAACAAGTAAGCTTAACTACACTGGTATTTTTCTGTGGAGGTGGCCCAAAAATAACAGCAAAGATTTGCCTCCTGAAGCCACAATGTTTCATTGGTTCTGGTTTAGAGTTTCCTAAGTTCCCATGCAACCATGAGCATCCCCTCTGTATTCTTGTAGCAGGCCACCCATTAGGGGCCAGCTTTTGTTCTTCATTTAACAACAAACTTCTAGAGAAAAAGGAGGAGCATTGTCTGTCCCTAAGCATCTTGGGTATTTTTATCTTTGATAAAAAGTGTGATTTCTCCCCCCAACATTCTTAAATTCTCCTCAAATTTGTACTCTCCGGTAGTTTAGAAGCTTTCCAGAATACTCATTGATGCTACATTTGGCAGTCTTCTAACACTATAATTGTTTTCAGGTATGAACAAGCTGAGCAACTGAGGAAAAAGTCATTTAGAATACGCCAAAAAGCAGCAAGGAGGAAAGGCAGCCTGGTAAGGAGATGTTTGGTACATAATAGTAAGTACAGAGCATGTTGTGGCTGTGCAGAATGGATGATAAAGTGTCCCTGCAGAGCTGACAAAGTTCCGATGCTTTGAATAATTGAGGGCATAGGTAGTGAAGTAGCCTAGCAGCAGCTTTGGTAACTGCACTTTCAACTCTGCTGTGAGTGCAGATGCATCAGTCTGACTGGTATGGAGTTGAGAGGGGTGGAAAAGAAAGAAGTGGATATGTACATTTTGGGGTGCAGAATTTGGAGGTGCTGATACAATTGGCTGTTGAACTGGCAGTGGAAAAAGGTGTTCTCCAGAATGACTGAGACATTTATCCTAACAATACTGATGAACAGAATGCTTACTGCAGTGAATAATCCTGGTAGTAATTTTAGGTGCCATACTGTTTTTCCCCATTTCATCTTCTGTGTTTTTCAGCTACAGAGTCCCTCTTGCCATTCTTTGTTTGTCATGTAGTGCCTTACTATGAGTTTCAGCTAGTAGCTTCAGAGCTCTTAGTTTAGCTCTAATAAAAATAGTGAAAGGCCGTAAGAATATTGCTATTTCCATAGTGCTTAAGTAGAAATCAATTTGGATCATGAAGATTTTGTCCATTTCTATAATGAGTTCTGCTGCACAAATCTTTTTATTAAGACTGCAAAGATGGAGAATAGGTGGAGTGTGTAACAGTGGCTGCATTTTTTACTTTTAATTCAGTTTGCATGTAAGCATTAGCTTGGCAGCCCAATTTACAATGATCCATGTAAAGCCTGGAGTAATAGTTAACACCTATTTGTCAATGGCATTTAGGATAGGAGATTAATTTGATTTTGAGTGTAGAAACCTAAGAATTTAATCTGAATTGGTTATTTGAACTGTGGAGTTTAAGCAAATCAGCATGTGTGGTACAGGACAAACAGAGCTGTAGGACAGCACAGTAACTTAAAATTCCTGGAAGCATTTTGGGTGAAATTCCCTGTTAGATTGTAAATAAGCAGAATGTTTATGTGCCAATTAGCTTGAAAACAGAACTTGGGTAGGATTATTGTGCTCCTTTGGCACCAAACTAAGTCGTCTGATGTTCTGTGCTTAGCTGTGCACTTTCAGAATAATGCGGATTGTCTCACTTGTGCTTTGCCATAGTGTGGCTTTGCTCTCCTGCGCCAAAGAGCCCTGCAATTGGAAGAGCTCACCTTAGGCAAGGATACACCAGATAATGCTCGAACCCTCAATGAGCTTGGAGTCCTCTACTACCTGCAGAATAATCTGGAGTAAGTGTTATTAGTTGTGATACATTCACTGAGTGTTCCTGTAGATGTAAATGGAAGAAAAGCATTGAGAACTAGCACTGAATGTGAATACATGATCAAATATGGTGCTGTCATCGATTCATTCTGCTGGGGTTTGTTTGCTGTGAAATTCACTTGTGTTTTCTGGAGTTGATGCTGTTAACATGTGAGCATTTACTAGGTCAGTGCATTTCCTTCATTCAGAACTGCTGTTCCACAGTTTAAGTTCACTAGCCTTCACTGCACGTACCAGTTCTTTCTTGAAATTTGTGCCTCCTCTACTCAGCTTCACTATTTTGTGACCCTCCTTTGTAGTGTTCTTCTGTGAATGGCAGGGTTGTCCTGTAAAAAACACTCAAAATATCAGTATTACTAGAAATCCTGAGTTAAATATTCACTGTGCTTGGAATCATTAGGCTCTGCTGGCCTTTTTAAGGGTGAAAGAGGACAGAGCAGCACAAAGGTGTTCTAAAAATAGATAAACGGGTGTTGAAGGGGAGTAAAAGGTGCAGAACAGTTCTGATTGCATGGCAAGAAGCCACTTTTCACATCAACTTCTTCAGGCTCCAGAGTAGTCTAAAAGTATGTGTTGTGAGGGAGTTGTAAAGTCACATTAAATCTTTTTGGAGAAAAAAGAAAGTGCACAGCAAAAAAAGCACAGAGTAAGTTCTGGAAGTATTTTACATTCTTCCTATATCTGATGTTTATGTCATAGTAGCTGTTGGGTAACTGCAGAAATACATTGTAATTTAGGATCTGCACACGGAATCTCTGTTAAATGCAGGACCTTCATAGTGAAGGAGTTGATTTTTAACAATGTTGGAGATGTGGGGTTTTCCATCAGTTTTCCCTCATGAAGTCATGCTGAAGTGACTGCTAATAGAGAAGTGACACCTATCTAATCTCATACAAGACTGTTTTATATTCCATATTATTCATATGTAGTTCCTGTCCAACACAACCAAACTTTAACTAGTAACTGTATCTTCACTATTTCTTAGGTGAGCAGAAGGATAAACGTTCTTATAGTGAAGCTTTAAGTCATTGTTTTAACTGGATATTGTATCTCTGTTCAGAAATCAACAAGTCTAAGATGAATTTTTTGATCATTTGATGCAGTTAGAATGAAATCAGTGTCAGAAGGGCATGTCACTTCAGTTGTGTATGTTATATCGCATCATCCTCTGGCCTCTGCATAGAGTGAAGACCTTCTGACATTTGTCTGATAGCTCCAGAACTGAATCTACAGTTCTGTGTATAAATGATCTTTTTTTCCCCTGTAATGCAAAATGGATTTTTCCAATTTCCTAAGCTGACCTCTTGGGAATAATGTCACACAGAATTTGTCTGTATGTCAGGATGACAAACTGCCTTGTTATAATGTGCTGCCATTGTTACGTGGGGATCACCCATTGCTCCTGATAGAGGAGGTGCTGTAAATCTATAGTGGAATAGTAGTAGTACACTAGTGAGACAAAATACACCCCTCTGATGGGGCAGTGCTTGAATGGTGGCATTACACACAGTCTTTTCTACTTTGTCACTTCTAGACAGCTTCTTCTATGAGAAGCTAGCTCATGACATACATAAAACCTGTTCCAGTCTCTCCCACTTCGGTGTGGAAGCTGTCTGTTCAATCCTATAATGTGCTTTATGTTCTTTAAAGTTCCTTGAAAAATACGTGGTGTGTTCTGAACCTTTACCTCATATCCCAGTATTGTTTTATCCATGGAAGTACTCGACTGCTATGCCCAGAAGTCAGTAGACTGTTCCGAACAAGGAAGGGTTACTTGCATAACTGGAGATGTAGGTTGAATTAAAGAAAAGAGTGGCCATGGGGTAGGGTAATGTTTGCTGAAATGTGCTAGGCTGGCTATTCAGTCCTTATAACAGGGGGGATACAGGATTGCACAGGAATATATTAACTAGCTTGCTGTCTACATCCTACACACAGCAGGTCTGTGTCAGGAATGTGTAGTTCCTCACTGTGTAAATGTATTTCTGCTCTGGCATTTGCTTAATCTGAGAAGAGTCCATTCCCAGATGCCAGTGTCTGTGCAGTTTCCAAGGCTGAGTTTGTTCTGTTTCAGACAGCCACTTCAGCCTGTGCAGATGTTCCCAGCTTTCAGATACTGCTGACTGAGTGAATGTGTTCTGTAGGACAGCAGAGCTTTTCCTGAAGCGCTCCTTGGAAATGAGAGAGAGAGTCCTGGGACCTGACCACCCTGACTGTGCGCAGTCCTTGAACAACCTGGCAGCCTTGTACAATGAGAAGAAGCACTATGACAAGGCAGAGGAACTCTATGAGAAAGCTTTAGACATCAGGAGGAGAGCACTGGCTCCAGATCATCCCTCCTTGGCTTATACTGTGAAACACCTGGCAGTGCTGTACAAGAAGATGGTAAGCACAAGCCTGTTACCTTTTCTTATCTCCTAGATTAACTGTAATGCCTTGCATTGTAAGTCTTCAGTCCAGAAGGAGTGGGGCATGGGAATTTTGTTGGCTGTTGGTGATCCACACCAATTAAAGATGCATAAAGATGTAGTCAAGTGGCCTTGGTCTGTTTCCAAAAAGCCCACTAGCTTTTCAAAACACATTTTGCTTGAAGAAAAGCTGCTTATGGAGAATGTCTTCAGTGTTCCCCACAAGGAATTTTTGATTTGATTAAGTGTTCTTCACTGTTTGCTATGTGATATCCACATACAGGAGTTTGGCCAGATGTGTCTTCATGGGAAAAACATGTTTTAGGTGTGGGAATAGTTCTTTTCACACAATGAGCTTGAGCTTTCGAGTCAAGTGGAGAGTAACTTAAAGGCTCATGAGGGAGATAGTACTTTACAAATAAACTGGCTCAGCCACCTCCAGCTTATATTGATTCAGTGGAGGATGAGAGTTAGTTACTCCCCTGTGCACTATGGGGGAATAACATGAACAGTAGTATAAACTTCTGTGTTTCATCATTTCCAGATGCTTTAGGAGTATTTGTGTTTGCAGATGGTCGTTCTAACCATTTGATGTCATCAGTATAGGAGTGATGTAAAGCTTCCAGCTGCTGAAC